CGTTTGACGTCATTACGAGAAAGGTTTATTATTGCATGCTGTAATCTTAGATTAAAAGATTTATGTTCAGGATATGTGAATTTGAGATTAAGGTTAGATTAAGATTAAAAGATTAGTTAAATTAAAAATGCAGGATTTGAAACTGAAATTTCACCTCTAAACTCGCGACCGTTTCTTTAAACCTAAATAAAAACGATTTCATTTTTGAATTGGTGTATTCTGCTATGTTTATAATTACCTGCTTCTTTCGTCCTAAATGTTGTATACTGCTCCACTCCTCTGACGATAATCGTCTACGGCTTCAATTCCAACTTCATATGAAGTATATGGCTGAAGATTACTGATATTATACTTATTTCCTCGTGGAACAGATAGGAGATACCTTCGGTGCAAATATATGAAGAGATTTTTTATATAACTTGTGCTGGAGGAAGTCGGTAATTTCCAAGTCACTAGTGCTGAATTCTTGGAGGGATTAATTCGAACATCGTAGACGGAACCTGGACGTTGAACTAAATTCGGATTAAAAAGAAGATACAATTCTATATTCTCACTCAGTGTTTCAAAATTTTCACTGCACATCTTTTAATACGAAAGTGGCTACATCAAAACAAATCACAGAAATTTATACGAAGTGTTCCGACATGAACATATAAACTCACCCACTCCACAGATTTCTATTCTTAGACAAAAGTCTGTGTTTCCAGTTGATTCTATCTTAATATGTCTCACATTATGAATATCAACGTCTGTAGTTGACGCTTGGTAACCGTTCTTGTTTCCTTTGATCTTTTATAAAAATTGAAAAAAAATTATGCATGAAATGTTGTTAAAGTATGACGATAAAACAAGAAACAACTACGTTTGCAGTTTGGGCGGCGTTATATCATGTGAAGTGCAAAATCTGCAATAAACAAGTTGCGGAGAAATAGTTTCGATATTATGTTATCATCGTTGTATTCCTTTAACTACCTCTACTACACGACTGCTATTCACCAAACTTCTATCATGGCTGTATTTCAATGAATATGATCCACTCCACTTCCTTCGATAATCACTACCCATGACTACAACTCGTGTTATGTGATATTCTTTTTGAAGGTCGATGGTGAGATATGAGCCAGGTGTAGAGGAACACCAGCCACCTTTAGTAATCCTTGCTTCGTGAAAACTATTACCTCCATTGCCACCAAATATGTTATCAGGAAAAGTACTTTCGTCGTTTAGTAACTGATTGTCACAAATCTTACCTGCAGATAAATAAATGATAAGAATCAAAGATAGGCTTCAATAATCTAAAGGTAGCAAAGGGCGTAGTCAGAGGGAGAGGATAAGGGGTATAACGTAAATAACTACTTCTCCGCTGAAATGCGAAAGAAATATCCTATATTTTGACTGCAAAACAAATCAGTTAATTTTTGGGCAGGCATCTTGGGTGATATCCAACAATTGGTGAGTCCCAACAATTGGGTATACTCACATTCAACATATGGTATTCTATCAGCTAAGGCCGCTGTTTTTGGTTGAAGATAAACACAACATGATGTTCCTCCAGACGTAGTGTTATAACAAACCAAGTCACCAGCTACGATACTCTCTTTATCATGAGCTTCTCCAAATTCAACTCCATTGTTGCGACGGTCGTGAAATCCCAAATGTTGACATAACCACCTCTCACTGTTTTCATCCAAATTTTTTTCAGAGACGACTACCCATGTTTTTTCGTATATGTAGAGGTAGCCTTTGTAGCCGCTTGATAATCTAATTTGAAGTCTTGAAACTAGACGAATAAATTACAGAATTTATCATTCGAAAACGAACCAGTGTTTTCGGGGGGGAAGGGTTAAATGAATGAAACAATTTAAGACAATGATGTGGAAGTCAGTTCACAGGTTACTTTCCTTTTTTAAGCGACCCGCTCCATAAACAGCGCTAGCATGCGAAAGGATTTATAGAAGATGATGTCAAACATGCGCCAGATGTTGTGCAAGTATTGTGGAAAAAAACTTCATTTAAGAAGATATAAGTGGTAAGAGCCAGTGCAGCTAGTCAACGGGGGGGGGGGATGATTGATGGACAATTTCCTTATTTGACTAAATGTTTATTATGAATATTGAACGGCGATTTTTTTGACACCGCAATATTTTGGGCATAGCAATTTCTTCGTTTACCCTCACAAATCAGATGATAGTGAAGTTGTGCACTTTACCTGTTGTTGTTATGTGGCTTGTATAGTTATCCACACAAGTGTACTCGGTATAAAGCTCTTTCCTTGTGTTAGAACAGAGGCTTGGTAATAGTAAATTATTGTCAATGGTCTGTTCACAAGATCTCTTTCCACCACAAAGAGATTTCAACCTACAACTTGTCACTGCAGTGCATTGTGCATCACTGTGGGCTCTGCTGTTAAATGTACCGCTATTGTCGAAGTTGCCATAATAAGCTTTGTGGATCACTATACGTTGTTTTGGAGAACAATGAACATCTTTCATTTTGTCGCCGTACTTTTGGTCACTGAACCTGAAATCGAGTTTCACAGAAAAATACAAATTATTTTTAGACCACTACAAATAATTATCGATCAAATAGACATAACAGTAATTCCGTCATCTTCGATGGCGATGGACCCTAATCCCATATGACCTTCATATAAAACTGAGGAACAACAAGGTTATTTATTTACCAAAAGTAAACGTCTGGCCAGATCTGTCACAATATGTTCTTCTATACAGATCTTCTCCAGAAGGCTCAACACATATCCCATAAGTCCCATCATTGTAAAAATATAAAGATCCAGCGTTTGTTTGTTTCAAATTTTGACTTTTGTCTTTTTGGCTGTTTTTTGCTGCTGCTGATATTGCTACATATATCGCTAAATGATTTTGATATGAGTTAGAATTGGTAGAATGCAACGCTCCCCCAGACTCGATATGCCACAGTATTTCTGTATCCTTGTAACGAAACTGTGCTTTATCGTCCAAGCAATTGTCTGTCATTAAAACCCAGTAAGGAAGTGCATGACGATGATCATTGTATATATAACCATTCTTTCTAGTTATACACTTTTTGGGCGCACTACTTTCACGTATGAAAAAACTTTGGCAATCTGTAAAGAAGAAAGGTGGCAAGAAAAATTAAATTATTAAATTCGCTAAAAAATTAAAGTGAAAAAAATCTATAAAAAATTAAATCCGTTTTCCACCACGCAAAGTAAGTTATCATGCAAGAAAATTAACGGAAGCAAGCAACCTATACTGTATGGCAAGAACGTTTGAAAAATAGTTGGAAAGACAATGGAAGCAACTGCAATTGAAAAATGTAATAATACGAAATCGAGGTTCCAACCGGTTTCGCCTGGATGTCGGCGGCCACTCGTGCCTAAAACGACTTCATAATTTATTGCCAAGTTTAACTATTCTAGAATGATGATATTAGTATGTCATGCATGATAATGACATATTCGTTGCTTTCGGTACAATTTTTCTACCGTTTTGACACTTGCTGTCGCGTCATACTTTCTGTCGTCGCTGTCAGGAGTTGAAACAACTGGTTGCTATTTAGTTCAATGAAAAACACACGAAATCCGAGAGATATCATGTCCTTAAACGTTCATGTGTTTTTGGCGCTTTTTTTCACACATCTATTTAAGTTGCCCGCAAAGATCTGGTAAATAAGCATGGGTGAATTTGCCATACAAGGATAACTAAAATGTTATTATCAGTTTTTGATATTTGAAGAAAGATAAAATTGAAGTTATTATATACCACTTGTCAAAGTTTGGTGTTCGTAGCATTTCATTGATCGAGCGCGAATCACGTGAGAGTGACGAAATTTTGATGTCGCCAGCGCGACCCCCTGCAGAGTGAGATAACGTGTTATCTCATGGGAAATAACAACTTTAATCACGTGCGGCGCACCTGATTACCTGCTTTCGCCTCGTGAAATATCGACATAACGTTTCCTTTGTTCGCAGTGAATAAGTGTTAATTATCCGTCAGTGAAAAACGAAACCGCGTGTATTTGCAGATATACATGCATGGCTGCTTTCCATTATCGCTGCACGGCCCTCACGTGCATGGAAAACGTCTTCAAAAGATGTCAAAGATCTGTTACCTTAGTTGAGACGTTGAGCAATCTAGATAACTACTAAACGTGTAATTAAAACTTAGTTTTATTGAGGATTTTGAAAAACTCGCCCCTGCATGATAGGTGAAGCCAGAGATCAGAGATGTTTAAACATCGTTATTGGTGTTTAAACCAACTAGATATGGTCACTACAGTATATTTCGATTATGTAATTAGCATCCATTAGCCTCCATTGAGGCTTTGGGCCTATCGACCTTGGCTATCAGTTTAAGGGTTGTATAACTAACAGTTTAGTACCTTGATTAAACGAAAAGTTGGTCGGGGTGGAATTTTATCAATCTAAAGAAATTTTTCGCTTAATTTTTTGGAATTGCATGTGGGAAGTCTCCGAAGAGAATCCACATAAAGTATAAAAATTTCAGGCAAATTGCTGAGAAAAAGTATAAAAATTAAAAACCGAAAAATTTGCCTCGTGGAAAACCGCCTTGAATTAAGCCGCTTCAATAAAAGTGAATTCATTTTGCAGGATCTTCAACGAGATAGTAAAATATTTTACCTTCAAACGCCAATAGCGACATACCACAGAAGATTAACCATGTATAAAATAGCAAAGACATCTCGTTGCTGAGTTTTTATTTAGCACATCAATATCGTTATGTCAGGAGTGAAGATGAAAGTTTGAAACAGCGAGTCACTCTCAAGTGTCCGTGTTGGACTGAATAAACTCGTGCGAAAACAGGAAATGAGGTGTAAAATTCGGATTTCGGTGAAAATTTCTAAGCCATGGATCGATAACTTCTTTTAACAAAATACTTTGTCGGCGGCATTCAAACACGTCAAAAAAAGAGCTTTTGAACCGCAAGAAGATAGACAATTGATGAGCACTGTGTTGACGTCAGACGAGAGGAATCCCCAACATCTCTCGAGCACAAACTTTTCTTATTCTCCTTAATAAATACTTGATAATTAATTAGTGCTTGTATACAAATATTAACCAAGCTTAATTTAAATTTATAAATATGTATGTACAAAGTTAACGTCATTCTTGACAACAAATAATCCAAACTACGACAAATCTCTTTTCAAAAGTTTCAAACGTTGCCATTAAAGGATGCATTAAATTTACAACAAGAAATTTCTGGGAAATGATACGACATTACAAAGACGTGCCAAGAATGGCCTGAATACGACGAAATTCTTGTTTTTCCTGAAATATGAAAAGGTGCTTCGTGAACTGGTTTCATTGAGTTTTAATCCGTCTGTAAATATTTGCATTTGCCTGAGGCTGAGAGCTAAAACGTTGTGTGTTTTATATTTAACTAGATCGTTTCGATAGGTCTAACGGCAAGGTAACATGAAGTATGGTGTAGATATATAATACTTATATAACTACATAATAGTGTGTATAATAAATAATACGCCGCCAACTTACAACTTCCATTACTGCCTGATCGCGGTAGCGCTTTAACTCTTTTCGCAAGGAATTATGAAACTCCGTCTATGGAAGAGAAAATGTATATCAGTAAATTTGCACTTGCTTTCCGTTGTTTAGGAGAATCCGATAGAGACGATCATGCATGCATGCATGGATTATATCTAAACTATGCTATAATCAGTAAACAAACATAGCTACCTGTTTCGATTTTTCAGCCTCTTCGATGTTTCTAAACGTCTCTGCAAAACTTTTCTGCGTTTTAACTATCCCTCGGAGACTAGAACCCAGCATTTAACGATAGATGATAAGTTAAGAATGAAGTGCGTAATTGGTGTAATCTTGGAAAGGCGAGAAACTCACCATTTTTCTTGTTCCTTTCTGTGATTGGCTAATAATTCCAAGGAATCCTTCATTTGTGTCTATACAACAAAACAAGACACTGAATTTTGAGGGAATAATATGCTTAATAGAAATTCATTTTTGGTTGCTTCATATGACTGGGTAAAAGGCATCCAGCCGGCTGAGATTTTCAACTTAATCGCAAATTAGAGCACCCCTCCAGAAAATATGCACCTCTTTGAACAAATGTACCTAGATCCGGCCATAGATCGAAACAGATGAACCTGCATAACTTGTTATAAAGAACTATATACTCACGATCATCTCGTCTTCAATCTGCTGCCTTCTGGCTGTTATCTGCTGGTGTTCATCGATTGATTGACTAACACGGTTCTGGAATTCGTTCAAAAGCGTTCCCCTAGATACAAAAACATACAAAATATTTCCCTTAATTGTGAATCTATTTAAACTGGTGAAATTTGTGATCGCAACAATAGAACGCGATAGGATAGCTGCTCAGAAGGTAAGAGAGTGGATTCACGACTTAATCAAACTGTTTTTACAATGTATGAATACCTTTTGGAGGATTTTTTTGCCCACATCTCTTCACTCTTGGTCATAACCAACTTCATCATTGCTGTTGCCATTCGGTTTACGTAGTGCTGCCTTTGCTGAAACGGTGATGAGAAAAACGATACAGTACCCACTGGTTTAATTACGCAAATATACAAAATAGTGATCCAACAGAAAACATATCAAAAGCCATCAGGCAGAAGAGAAAACCTTTATGGTCTTTTTTACTTCTTTTCCTAAACTTGAAATTAAAGTTGATTGCATTTCCTCTCTGTGAAAAAATGAGAATATGTAGTCATTGGTGTATGATCCTAAAATTCAGTTTTAACTAAGAACTGCATTTTTTCATTGCGTGAAATGGAAATGTGACTAGATAGTTGCATTGCACTATTTGGATTGCAAATGAAAACACAGATTATGATTATCAAAATAAACAGATTATACCCTATCGAGACTACATCACCAACTTCTTCATCATCATCTTCTATTTGTTCATCGTCATCATCATCACTATCATCATTATCATGATGATGATCATCCTCATCGTCATCATCTTCATTCTCATCATCACGATGACTTTCCATTAAAGCTGAACAAAAGAACACAGAGGCAAAAAAATCATTCAGAATTCAAAAAAAGACTCGTGTGTTTAAAAGGAAAGTAGGTATTTCAGTTCTCCACGTAGTTCCTCGTAGCCACAATGAAATATCGAGAATAGCATATCTCTCATACCCTTGCGTCTCTTTTTAGCGACGGGATGGTCAGTAGATCTGAACAATTTCTTTGGCTGTAATGGCAAAGATTGACTGTCTGCAACAGGAGTCTTAAAACATTCTTCCAAAGAATCTTGATAATCTATTTCTTGTTCCAAGGCATTGTCCTTTGATGAGCCCTTTTTGCGATGCTGAACTTGTCTCTCCAACAAACCAGCAAGTTCCCCTCCTAGAGACCATGAAAACACGGGAATAAGTGCTGACTTCGTGACTGAAAGGATTACATTGGAGTCTACTATAAAAACCATGGCTAGCCGACAATTTAAAAAAGTAAAGTAAAAAGCAAATTCCGAATAAACAAGACATCTTGAGAATCAAAATATAGAATATCATTCTGTCTGAAAATGACTTTGTAATAAAGTCGAAAATTTACAGTCTTAATCTGTGTCTTGTTTGAATTATATTTCGATTCTCAAGATGTCTTGTTTATTCGGTGTCTACTATGTCAGTTCAATAGAACTTATATATTTTTACACATTCAAATCTAGGATCAACGTTTTCAGATAGGTTTACCTGGTTTAAACCAAACATTGTCGAGATTACTTCCTTTTCTTTTTCTGCTTCCCTGATTGAAAATAAATAGTTCAGTTGAGTATATACACGAGAAAATATTTATACCTAAATATGGATCCTTCTTAATCTCAAATGGTTATGAACTAATGCAGGATAAAGACCTTGTTTTTCTTTATAATTGATAGATACCTGCTTCGTAGACGTAGATGCCGGTTGGGAAAGAGAGAAGTTGAATTCTTCCTCCGTGGAATGATCTTCATCCTAGAAATGTTTATACAGAACAATCGTTCTCTGTGACTATACTTTCTCCTCTGCAAGGAGGGAACGAGCCAGGGGGCTACGACTGAGTCCGCATCGATATACCTGCAACATATCTTTGTTATCTGCTTAGATTTTTATATAAATACAGCTTACCTGGATTTTAGACGTTTGTTTGTCTGAAAATAGAAATATAATGAATAGATTTGAGGATGTTGTTTCCTGCTGCTTGGGCACAATGCAAGTTAAACCCTGTCACAGATATTTTCGAGAAATTTTCCTCTTTTGACGGATGTAAGCGAGCGATTAGTTAGAAACACCCCGATGTATACAGTATACGGTTCTTCTCTAAAAACTATGAACTGCGCACTCGTTCAGATCTACCAAAAGAGGAAAATCGGAGTAACAAGCAGCATCTTACCGTCGTTACTGCGATAACCTCGGGCACGAATACGAGGATTCTTTGACTGCATCTCAAGACGTCCGAGTCGTCTCATCTTTCTTGGAGTTTTACTCCCTGGTGTCTCGCTTGGTGTGATACTCTTCGCAGAACCTGGCGTTTGATCTCGTTTACCGTACGCTCTACTCTTTCCTAATGAGCTTCCAGTTTTATCAAAGAATCCTATGGCAATATAAGATTATATCTCTAGAGGATCGAGATAATCTTAATCCCCACCATAATACATCAAATATAATCCTAATCCTAATCTTAATCGTAAATCCTGATCACAAGAAAACCAAGCAGGTACCTGAATCACCAGCACCAGACAGGTTCGCCTTTGAAGACCTCATACCAAACGACTTGAAATGATCCTATAGGACATTATATAACCGCAATTACACCCCCATACTCTAATAATCAGCTCTCCCCCCGTGTACACCTAAGTACCTTTTCTACTACGGCTTCCGATTTTTTTCTCGAAGAGGAACTTTCGTCTGATTCTTCCAAAATTTTCTATGAAAATGAGAATTAATAAACAAAGCATAATAGTTCCAATGTCGTATCATTTATGGTACCCAATAGCACCCATTATGGTACCCAGTAATACCCATTATGGTACCAGTAGTACCCATTATGGTACCCAGTAATACCCTTTAATAGTACCCAGTAGTACCCTATATGAGATCCACTCCAGCCTACCAGGCAGACCTGCATACCTCAATATTCTTTCTGAATGCACTAACTATACCAGGGGTATGAGGGTGCGAAAAATTTTCTCTATCATCCTCGTCGGAATTTCCATCTTTATCATGTTGATCATTCCCAGGCCTTTTCATTGTATAACTCTCATCCTTCTCTAGTTCCAGGCCACTTTCTGCATCGTTAGCATCATCCCGTACGTCTGACCTACGCTGTGATTTCGTCCCAGCCTGCTTTTTACCCGAGGTAATAGCTTCAGAAACACTGTTGAGATCAGAGAGATATCGCTAGTGAATTAAGGGCGGTGTTACAGTATGCAACTTTCCTTTGCAACTTGTAATGCAATTCTACTTCTTAGGCATCAAAAGTTGACAAGTATGAACATTTCGCACGATAAATATTGTTTCCTGAGCATTTTGAACTCTTTACAAATTAACACCCTCAAAATTTCAATTGCATTGCAAGTTGCAAGGAAAGTTGCATAGTAGAGCCTTAAATATTCATCAAATTCCACCAACTTTTCGACGCTTTAACGCATAAACTTACTGTGCTTTAACGCATGACTTACTGTGTATTGCTTTAATGGCATTCAAAAAACCAGTTTGTTTACTTGGTTACCTTTTGATAGTTCGATTTGCACTGATATCAGTCTGTTTCATCTTTCTCTGCCTCTGTTTTTGCCCCAAACTCAAACAACTATCATCACTTTCAAAACGAAACAAGGCATCATTCAGACCTTTCCTTTCCACGTTGTTTTGCCTTGAGCCTGTTTTCTCTGCACTCGCTCCCTGAGATGGCCTCGCGACAGAAGTTTCCTGATTGGATTGAACCCGCCTTATTAACCTTGCTCGTTTCTGAACTTTCCCACTATTATTCTGCTTCTTATTTTTCTTGTCATCCCTCGTTTCTAAAGCCACATCTTCATCAAGTTTGTCAAACACATCGTCAACAAGCATTTTAGTGTCGCTGTGTTGTGCTCCACGCGTTCTGTCGGCACTGACAACATCGCGGGTTGATTTCTTGCCGGTTGTTTCTGGAGCAGATTTGGCACTTGGCTTCATTGCCCCGAGGGATTTCTTTCGAGAATCCTTCTCGGGATCGACAAACTTTTCCATAACTACAGGATAAGTTGAAAAAACCTGATGTCTTTGATATTCAAAATTGCCGCACGTTTTTTTCTCTCGTCGAGTCTCGCACGATGAGAATGCATTCAAAGTCCCACAGGGAGCAATATACAATGAAAGACAATAGATAATGAGCTGGAATGCCTCATTATTTATTGTTTTTGATGTATTTGACATTTTAATAAGTACGACGTGAGAAATGGGCCTTAACTGTGTGAAATCCCAACTGTATGAAATCTCAGCATCAATATGCGGCAAGTTTGCTTATGATAAGCATCAGGTTTATCTACTTATGTTGCAGTGTGATAATAACAGCATGCAGAAAATATGTTTCACTATGTTTGCGGGACCATTGGTTCCGATGCATTTGTGGCTTTGGCAGCGAGCTTGGACATACAAATTCTAGCATGTACAATAGCTAACTTTAAGATAGGAATGGGGTTTGGCACAAGGAATTCACCCCCAACCCCTGCATTCATCCCCCCCCTGCGCAAATTACCACTCTAATATACCTTTCTGTTCTTTCTTACCTTTCTTTTGTCTACTCATTTTCGCATCTCCGCTCTTGATTTCCTCGGCACCATCTATTTCTACTTGGTCATTAACACGAGTAGAAAATTCCTTATCACTTTTTTCATGATTCTCGATGTGATTTGGAAATGATTCTTTCTCAGGCAGGACATCGATTTCAGCTGGGATCTAGCATGAAGTTTTCAGTATGCTTGGTGTAATATACATCAAATCGAGTTTCATTTAGACTCAAAATGTGAGTTTAAATATCTGAAATACACATCTTGTATGACACAGGTTGATTACCGGGGACGCATGGGTGTGCTGTGTGCATACCCTATTATAGAAAATTAAAAATCCGCCCTTTCTAGAGAATAATGCATTGATTATAATCAGTCATCAGCTACAGATATTCCGTATAGAAAAGAGTTGTTTAACCTAATTTAACTTGGTTTTTCTAGTGCAACAGTTATACTGGATTTACAACGATTACCAGAAGAAATACTGACCGCTGTGGCAGTCTCAAAATAAATTTGGAAAATTTAAGAATTGGCGAAAAAACGGCAATCCGTTACCTGTGAATCTTCTACTTCAAATAGTACCCTAGTCACATTATCAATGGTCGAGCTGAAAACTGGTGGCCCAAGGGATAAATCTTCTTCCGCATCTGTAAGAAAAACGTCGACACGGTGTACAATTATATCGCAATTGGCCGATATCAAAGGTACATTGTTGAAGCCTCTAATCTCAATGACTTGGGAACATGACAATGAAAAAAGACTCAACAAAAATTATAAGACGAGCACCTTCTCCAGTGGGTTCCTTGTCACGTTTATTTTTTTCCAAGTCATCATCTTTCTCAGGACTCTTTCGTTTCCTAGATTCCGTTTTGTCCTCGCCAACAGCTTCTTCTGTCTTCTTGTGAAGTTCGGGTTGTTTGGAATTACTGTCCAGTAGCTCGCTTTCTGAATGATACTCTCCGAGTTGGTTTTCACTACGTCTTTGTTGAATCCTTAGTGCAATGTCTGAGAAAGACTCCTCAATCTAAATTATGTAACACAATATAAGATATACTTCAGAAAGAGGATATTAGAATAAGGGCGTATTAGAGTGATATATATTTGGGAAAGGGGTTAGTAGAGTAAGGTATGCTTTGGAAAGGGTTAAAAGGGTGAGGTGTACTTGTTAAAGGGGTTACGGAGTGAGGAGAGGAGTTACTAGAGTTGGGGGTACATGACACAGGCGATTATCAGCAAAAGCACGACAAATGCATGAGTTTACAAACTTATATCGTAAAGAATACTCGTCTTTGATCGACTAAGCATAGAGCAAGGAATAATACTAACCATCTCTTCTTCTTCTTCCATTTCGTTTGAACCATCCTGTCGGGCTCTCGTTTTACTTTTTTTGCGGACCTCGTTTTTTTTCTTGTTTTGATACGCTTTCAACGCGGGACGAAGAAGTTTCTTGCCCTGAGGAGATCTTTTAGCAGGAGGACTCTGGAAAAGATGAATTACATCATGGGAATTCTCTCTACGAGTTTGACAACCAGAAGGCTGTTTCCTTCTCAGCTTGGTTTTAAGGGATTGTCTATTATTGGGGGACACAAATATACTCTATCGTCCTCTTACACACATGGCGTGCTTACATGTTTGAATTCAAAAGGGCCAAGAAATTTTCTCTGTCTTATATGGCCGTTCCATTTATATTTTTCCCGAAATACGCTATTGACTAACGCCATGCGAGACTGCGGAAGATATCCTGAATTATTTATAACTTGTTTCTTTCCCGTTCTCCGTTCAGGATCCGAGTTTCCGAACACATAGTCTTCGGTATTGTAGCCCTAGAAATGGAAAGAATTTCGGAGAACTCAGTCGGTGCAGCCGTAGACGGACGATGTCAAATAAGCTTGGATTCATAAGAGATATGCAACCAGTACTCCAGGGCAAAACCATTACTCCAGGTCTTATCTTACACTGCCAAGTTTATTCCTTCTATCAAGCTCGTCCGCGCTGAGAGGACGTGGAAATGGTTTGGACCTCTCGCTATCCACAATCTCGCTCTTCGTGATAGGCTTACTCCACTTCAGACCATCAGTGATTTCAGACTCCGAAGTTGAAACACCAGCTAGAGACTGTCTTTTCTTCGCTTCTGCCCTGGTTCGAACTCCGCGAGTCTAAAAGTTGAACAGTAACGAGTAATCCCATTGTTGTAAAATAGTTAATTATGTACCTTTTTACCAGAAGTAGTCAATATTTATCCATTGTAATTAGGTTACTGAGAGTGGAAACAAATTTACTGATTGGTGGAAGTCCCTATCCACGGCCTAAAACGTTTGATAATACTGTTGGATGGATAGACGGACAAAAATCGTACTAAAATGATCATAACTTCACCTGTACTGCAGGTTTTCCTTTTACTGCTCTTGTTGTTTTCTTCTTAACAACAGTGCTGCTTTCACTATCGTCCATGGCTTTACTTTCCTTTCGTTTCAAACACAAGAATATAGGTAATTGAATAAAACTCGCAGCATGCAGGTAGACTCTAATCAACTACACTTGTATCGGTTTCCAGACGACTTAGAAAACATTGAACTCACTTTGCCTTCCGTTTTCTTGCTTATTTTAATAAAAGGCCCTGAACTATCCGCGCCATCAGCTGAACTCCTCTTCTTTCCCATATCAGCGACACCCCCACTCGCCTCAGGCAGCAGAACATGCAGAGGGTCCTCTTGAAAGACCGTCTCAACATTGGTCACTCCAAGCGCACCCTCCTGGCTGAGTGTCTGAGTTTCATTGATAACTGTTGGTTCCTCGTGACTCGTGTCCTTTTGCTCCTCTTTATCCTTTGTAACCTCCAAGGTGAGATTCTGTTTATCCAAACTTTTCCCTAATGCACTGTCAATACTCTTGCCTAATCCACTGTCATCCACGCTTGTTTCGAGGTAGCTTATGTTTTTCTTAACCTTACCTGTAAAACAAAATGATACATCCCTTACATCGTCGATCCCAAACAACTTCATGAAATTTTGTACGAAAACAAACACGGGTATCTTTTGCAAACTCGAGATTAAAACATTACCAGCATCGTTTCCTGGTGGTCGTGTTTGTTCATCGCTGGAAGAAATATGGACAACCACCACTGGAGGGGCGTCAACACCCACCGGATTATTGGATCCATCTGTTTCATTTTTGCTTACAATACCGGCATTCGACTCCGCTACCATCGGGGTTATCTCAGCCCTACCAGGCAGGCTACTGCTGATGGTATCCTCGTCAGGTACGACCGCACTTTCTGCGACGGGGGGGTTGTTATCGCCTTCGTTATCACGGCTCGAGCTTTCCACTTTATTTGAAACACTTTCCTCTCTTCCTTTGTCGTTTGCGGAACCAGTAACGCTCGACTTTAAAGCATCGTCGCTCGACCCCCGTTTTACCTTATGCTGGGAGTCTAAGACAGAAAAAATAAAACGAGTTTTTCTAGTATATGGAAGAAAATTGAAATATATATATATGTAGTATATTCTTAGCTAATTATTAGCTTATGAGATTAGGATTAGCTAATGAGATTAGGATTGGCTAATGAAGATTAGGATAGGCTAATGAGATTAGGATTGCCTAATGCGTGTAGTTTGGAGTTAACTACGATTAAACAATACTGGAAATGTAGTTGTGAGTTTTAAACAACCGGACCTTTGGCATAAAAATGTAGAAAAAGGTGTGACATATACCGAAAATTTGACCGTTTTAGAGCGACCTTTAGCACGACTCGAGAGATGGACGGCAGTAGATGTAACAGAAGCCTTTGGAGTGGAAGCAATAACATCTGGACTGAGCGGGGTGTTGGAAGAAAAATCCTGGGGAAACAATAAGCTTGCAGCCTTGATTGGATTATCTAAACTAGTTAAGGAATATTAACTCGCGCTAAAAACTTACATATTACAGTTACGATATATGTATAGAGAAATAATCAAGTATTTTTATATTGCTTTTCCTAGCTTTTAAAACTTCGCGAAGAAAGAGAAGGATATTTTTCTCGTCGTAGATGAACTTCACGTAAGCATCGTTTTGGTCGCAGGATGTTAGCATGGTATGAACGGCTTTGTTGAGACGCAAAACCAGGAGAACTTCATGGCTTTCTTTTTTTTCTAAAACAAGAATCCTGGATTATGAATGAAGGCTGCATGAGCTGGTGGTATCCATACGACAGCACCAAGTATCGACGTGGTCGTGAATCGCATGTGATTTGCTTTCAACTGGTCAGATTTGGCCGAAATGAAAAAGCCAAAGTTCATACGGACTATAGTGGACGACTGTACCTAGTATTTGCGATTGCAAAACGAGATTCCTCTTGATCGTCACAGTCTCCCAAACGTCGCCCTAAAACAGAGAAAAACAATCTATCATTTTGAAAGTGGTTTCTTAACCCTAGCGAAAGTGGCGTAGTACCTGAAAACAGGAGACCTAACTCGAAAAAGAGAAGAAAAGTAGTATATGTTAAGCATACAGTGTATTTCAACCTACCTCAGTATCGATGGCAAAAAAAGAAATAGATTCGCTTCCCAGACTGAAATCCGTCCAAAACATTCCGCTATCTCCATCAGTGGGACAATTCACCTGTTCAAAATATCAACGGTGAATCGTTCCTTCAATCATACCTGTGTAGCTACTAATCACATTTGATCTCACAAAATACCTTTTGTAAGCCAAGGTATACTTCTTTACAAAGAAATGAGTACACACTGAAATGAGAATTCAAATTAAAAATGCATATGGAGAGGTATTTTATTGAGATGTACAGTAAGCATGTGGAAATTGGAATCCCACTTAGGGCTAGTTTCCACTCCGGAAAAATCTCCTTTGGATCGGGACAGACAGGAAAATTTCCTTTGTCGGTGAGTTCTCAGGAGGGGTTTATACCAAGGAAACTTTCCTGTCCTCTCCGATTCAGAGGAGAATTTTTCTGAGTGGAAACTAGCCTTTAGAGTAATTAGAGAACGTCAGCCACTCGCACGAATCGGTCAGAATTCACACGTTCATAAAGACTTGCCAGTCTACAGCATTTTGACGTTATCTAAGCTTTTGGAGAATCGTGCACCTCATCCTTGAGAAAATCTCACCCTATTATTGTCAATTATTTCCTACCTTCTATTATCAAGTTGCCTTTCGTTTAAGTTATTTATAAATTTCCTGCAATCCTGAAATACAAAGATTAAAATTAAAATCGGGGACAGGGGAAACTCGGGAAACTAGGAGAAATTAGGGGAAACTCGGGGAAAGAAAATTTATCCAGATCTGTCAAGACTGAGTGACTGACTCAAGATTCTCAGTCTTACGGATTCAAATTCAGCATCTCTAATAGAAGCGAAATCATTTTGGGATTCAGGATTTCGCTTAAACCATTGTTGTACGTGAATCTTTCGTTTTTCCGCAGGCAAGATACGACAGACGAGCTCCGTCATGCACAATTGAACTTCCAAATCTGTAAGAAAGAAAAAGTGGAACGAAGACGATTGAAGTGCTCGTCAGAATATGATATGAATTTCAAAGAGGTCCAAAAAATTAATGGTGAAAAATCGGTGCTCAGAACAATAGAGACGCTGTGAGAAAATAAGTTAATATCTCGAAAATAAATTGTTGTTATATAAGTCAGGTTCAGAAAAAAAGTATGAATATAACGCAATTCCTACCACCAGCATCAGCTACGAGATTATCAAAGTTTTTCCTATAGAAAGAAAAAAACAAGGCACACTATAATCTCGGTAGAATATGCTAGCTACTCAATACAGTACTCGATACAGACACATACAGTATCATTTTTAAACCCATATCTGAATTCCATACTAGGGTTATCAATTTCCATGATCATATATGCACCGTACACTCACAAAATTAACAGGGATGACAGATTATGACGGACAAAGAATTCAAAACAAGCAGGTGTATGTACACTTACACAAACGCAGAGGAACTAAGATCGGATTGATTTTGACGCATGAATGACTCAATAATGGTATTGAGCAACTTGGTGGCCTGGAATATCGGGATAAACGGACAAAATGTTAAACTGCATGCCATAGAGCGTTTGATATGAATTTGGTAAAAAAACATCAATATGCATTTCGAAATTCTTAAGAGATCTTAGGAAATAGATCGCTGTAGATATTAACCTCAATTCAACTTATTCATGTAACGACTTTTGTGTTATAAATAAGTTGATTCAAACCAACCTCCAACCTCACAGTGACGTTGCATCCTTTGTCCACCAAAAGGTTAAGGCAGGGAAGAACAAAACAAGCAAAGGCTGATTTAGCTATATCAATTCACCAACAAAAACAAAAGACAATTAGCTTGTTCATAAAGAATTTGACTAGTAAATATGCAGAATCTTTATGAGACTGGCTGGTGCCCTGAATTTCTTTCATATAAACAATATACATTATATAGACCATGGTGCCACGTACCATTCTCACCAATATCAGATGATGTCTGTAAGAAGAAAGAGAAATTCATGAAACATACTATAAAACGGCATATGACGGTCCAGCATGTAGACTGGCAAATTTTAGCAGTCAGTCTCGGTTAGAAGGAAAACAGGGGGGGTGAAGGTAGGACGCGAAGAAATGGTGCGCGCTTTTAAAGAAGGTGTGGGGGTTATCAGAATAGTTTAAAAAAGTAAAGGTACAACGCTTGCAAAGTCACAAAACAAAGAAACTCGCGTTTTATACATACGGTCACAATATCCAAAATGTTGCTTATCATTGCATTGCGCCTTGATTCTTGCGTGTCTTTGAACTTTGATCCAAGAACTTTCTCAAAAACCTTCAAAATGTAATGGGGAAAAACACAGAGAAAAACATAACATCATTTAAATCTGCCGGCCTTGGCAATACATTCGTATTATACTAATTATCTGCATCGCGACGACGCCTATCAAGGTCAAGTCTAAGCATAGAATGGTATCAGTTGAGGTGTTTCACCATCGATGAACAGGCCAGGATTAGCGTTGGTGATTTGCAACGCAAGCTGAAGAGACTTTTCAATCTTCGCGTATTTCATTGGACCTTTCAAATCCTAAAAGAAAAACGGTTCGTTGCTCGATGTTCTGTGCATATTAGGAGGACTGGTACTGAGCGCTGTCTCTCATCAGGAACGTAAAACGAGATTGTTCGAATAAAGTCACAGCCTCGTTCCCAGGCACTTTAAATAAAATAAATATAGGAACACTGCAGGATTTTATATAGATCAGTGGCTAAGCTGAGCGAGCACTGATCTATTTGTAAAAGCCTGTAGTGTTCCTATATTTCATTTAGCGCCTGGCAACGAGGCTGATAAAGTCACCTAGTATTTGCATATCGGCAGTATTTGCAAACATGAATTGGAAACAAAGTAAGTTTTATATTTCATTTTTGCACCCCCTCAAAAAACGATTATAATTAATTGAAATCATTTGCTATTTGCAACAAACCCTCTTTAAATTTATCTTCATTTCGTTAAAAACTGTTTCCATCTCATCATCAAGAATCGCTGTTCTCTGTGGACTATAAAGGGTTTTGAAATCCACACAATCCACCATAGGATCATCAAAAGTATCACTTCCAAGTGGATTAAATAATGCCTCGATCTGAATAGAACACATAACAGAAAAACGATTAGATATTCTGAAAACGATACAAGGTGTATTATGGAACATGTATGGTTTGAATATATATCAGGGTGAATCATTTAAAAAATATTACTTTTAAAATTGTGAAAGCACATTTGAACTGCATTTATGATTTATCGATAATTTTAGGAAAGTTTAGGCCATGCAGCCAGTTATATTTCAAGCTTTAAGGTTTCAGGCAAAAATACACTTGAAAATTTAATTTGTGATGAAGCTCATGCCCAGGTGTAGTTGTTTCAGTTATTATATAGAGATCAGTGGCAATAAGGAGAGAGGACAGGTAGGTATTAAATAATTCTATGTCCAAAATCAGCAAATTTAATCCTTAATCTAATCCTTTTGGGGTAAGGATTGTGGTCATGTTTGGGATTAAAGTAAGGATTATATTTGCGAATTCTGGACATGATGTTATTACCAGAGCACACAGAGTGGTTTTAGCAACTGGTCTTCATATAGTAGCTCAATGCAGTCTGGGTAATGCAGAGACATCCCGGCAACTTTAACAAAATTGTAATTGTACGTCAGGGTGCCATTGTTTCAAAAGACTGCATTTTCAAATTTCAAACATGCACTATACTATTTTTGATACTTCAGAAAGCATCCCATTCAGAAGTGGATACCATACTGGTACTGGTATCATATATATAAACTTTGTTCAGTGTACAGCCAGTACAAAAAGGAAGCAAAATAGGATAACCCAAAGCACTTTCTTTAACATAACAAATAATTCTACATATATTTACCATTTGCACATTATCTCAACACAAATGAAGATAGTAACATAAAATTAAGCATCTAACACCTGCATTTTTAATTTAAAACAAGTTCAGTAATATATAAAAAACATATAAAACGACTGAAATGAACTTGTAATTGGTAAAAATAACGCAATTGGACGACCTACATAAACAATTTATTGACAAATTACACCTCGAGTAAATAAACGATAAGCTGTTTACATAAATTTTACTACGCTTGTCGACATACAAAACGACAACAATTCTGGAGATAAACAGCACAAATAAAGCGGTTTTTTCATTGTACCTCAAAATCTGTATTACTCATCTTTCCTCACAAATACTCCGCCAACTTATGTTATCCTTCTACACACAAAAGTGTCGAAAAAAAGCTAAACATCTTCAAAATAATTTCATAATTTTCGGACAAAAATAATCAAATTTCAATTTTTCGGAATTTCCCGCGCTCGCCCGGACTCCTTATATGGAGATTGATCGGAGGTATTCGTGAAATTGAATAACATCGGCGTGAGGCCGAAGTCAAAAATAAACTGCAAATCATGCGGAATATTAGCACTTTCTTGCAAAGATTCATCGGTGATATGGATAATTATTGGATACATTGCTAGGAAACCTAGTGCACTGTGCAATATCTGTGTTTCTTTGTCTGGTGTGCCGATTTCCGTAAAATGTGAGGTATTTCACCAATTTTTGCAATGACGACTGATTATATTATATTAAAGGGTAAATGTGAGAAAGATATGTTGAAAAACGGAGGATTTGCGAACGATTTGTACAGGATAAGATTCAAAAGCAGGAGAGTAAACCCCCATATCGTCTTTAGAGCGATGTTATTTATAAGCTTTTTGCAAAGCCTTGTGGGTAAGGAAGGCGTTGCAGCGTGGGCTCCGCTGACTGTCAGTTTTCGAGCGAAGCGAAAATTACTATTCAAATTTTGAATAAATAACCTCAATTCTGCAAGCTATATTTTGTAAAGCAACGTAACGATCGTCGTCGAAATTTCGGAAAAGAAACATGGATTAGTGGGCTACGCCAGGACCGCGTTTACGTTGCAATCGGACGTTTGGAAGCCAAGGTAATTGTAGTCTCAGCGCAGCTTCGTAACTTGATCGAGTTCGTTCGTTGGCATACTACACTGTGAAAAATAGCCACAAGCGAACTCCTGCCGTTTTGAACTTAAGACGTGGTCTTGTCTTGCATCTGGCTAACTTGTGTTATATTCAAGATTACGTCCAGCCGCAACACGGCAGATATAGGGACTGATATTGCCAGATTGTTGATATTTTGTGTAACAAACTGGCTGTAAACCAAGCGACCGGCTTCACTGGCAAAACTTCCTTCCGCCAAATTTGCAACTTTATCAAATTGTACATTTTGAAACGCAAATTTCGCTTCAAAATCGTCGTCTTCAAGTCTACGCATTCGAGTTTTATGTTGTCGAATAAATACCCTAACTTGGAAAAATTGAAGTTGAAAGTAAAACGGTATAGCGTGGCCATAATTTGCTCTTTTGTTTTTGAGTAGCAATGTGTTTGTTGCTCACTTCCGTGTGACGGTTAATTTGGAAAAACAGATATCAGGCGGCTTTGAAACGGCCATTTTGATAGCTCCAGGACTTCGTAGTTAATTAACAAATTGAAGCAGTTCAAAGTCCTTTGTTTTTGCTACGTTTTGAAATATACAAGTGCCTTCTAATTGGTGTTTATATGAAGTTAATATATCTCTGAACTTGCTCAAGTGAGTATACTGTGGAGAGGTGTAATTGGATAGCATAGTCTATACTCAGATATGTTCTGTGTACATTTATTAAATGCTAGGTATTAATCTGTCATTGATTACATACATGATAAACTGAATGATTGTAGTTCATAACAGAATGATTATGATTAGCTTGGTAACAGCATATTTGTGCTGTCAAACATTGAATTTCCTTCTGTTCATTCTGTGGAAATGTTTACCCTGTTGTTCTTGCAACCAAGCAATTACCATAATTCAAGAAAGCCAGTTTCTGCTATTGAGTCCGGACCAGTAGTACCAGAATCCTTTGGATTTGAATTTGAAAACGCTGTTAATGTTCAAGAACTCTATTGCAACTGTTTATGTGTGTGATGTATTTTGAAGCAAAGTGTATCCACACTAATATATTGGCATGTTCGTTTGTTTAGGAAAATATGGGTAATTTGCTGAGAATTTTATATGCCAAGGATGCGGACACCAACAAGTCGGACATCTTCCTTGACTTTGAAAGTAAGTTCTGTTTGTATGTTACAACACAAAGCCCAGGGGTGTGCACAAGTGAAATTGGAAGTTGAATTGTATTGTTCACTAATGCATATGTTCTTTTATGGTTACACAGATGCCCAACCAACATCATCAGAAGCAGAAATCTATGAAGTCGTGAAAGCAGTCCTGGACCAGTCCTCACAAATTGTTTATGATCTCAAGGAATATCGAGGGGCAAATGAACCAATAAGAGGGGTATGTTATAAATACTTATCTCTACACAAATACCATGTCCCATGTACATTGTATCCCCCCACTTAAAAACCATATAATATATTACTTTGCCAGGCAATATCAAATCCATCAAACGAGGAATTACAGGATGTTGCTTGGAAGGCAGTTATGCCTTTGGTGGGCCAGTTGAAAAAATTTTATGAATATGCAACAGAGTTAGGTAACTTGTTAGAAGTATCGTCAGATTAAAAGACTTAATCCTGTAATACTTGTAACTATGAGTGCCATTTTAAAACAGAATGTACTGTTGGATATGCAAAGATATTTGATATGCTGGATGTTATATTTGATGTAGACATGTTCTAATGTACTTAATGTTCTGTTTTCTTCAGAGGCTGTATTGCCACAACTGTTAAATGCATTATGTTCAGGAAACCTTACACCAGTTGAACATTTGGAGCAACAGCAGGTAGATTAAGTATTGCACCTTCATCAAAAGATCTTGTAAAAAGATCTCACACTCAGCATCCATTACCATTTAGGCACTTGCCAAACAGTTTGCAGATATCTTACACTTTACATTGAAATTTGATGACCTAAAGGTATGCCCATTCTATGACCTTTTCAAGCTTGAAATAATCTTGTTGTACTCAATATTTCCTATTAATTATCTACACTTCATCACACAATTTAAATTTTTCAGATGACCAACCCTTCAATTCAAAATGACTTTAGCTACTATAGAAGGACACTAAGCAGAAGGAAGTTGTCAAATTGTGTAAGTTCCTTGTGAGGATTTCGAACATTTTACTGTGTCCAGAATACAACCTAATTGTGTTGTTCTTTAGGATGACAATGAGGTTGATGAGAACGATGTGCAAGTTTCTAATGAAATGGCAAACAGAATGTCATTGTTTTATGCATATCCAACACCAATGCTAAAGACATTAAGTGATGCTACATCCAAGTTTGTTAGTGAAGTATGTGTGTAATTCAGGCTTTGGAGATGCTCAATATTTAGTAACGATACTAATAAAAGGTTGAAATTATCTCCCTTTCCAGAATAAAAACTTACCAATTGAAAACACAACAGAAATGCTTAGCACACTGGCCAATCTCTGTAGAATCATGACAGAAAATCCGTAAGTACACTGTTCTGCCCAGACTCTTGCTAGTTGCATTCTACGTGTTTCATCATATATGCCATATTTCATTGCAGAGAGTACAGTTCAAGATTTGAAAGTCAGGAAACAACTCTGTTTTGTCTTCGTATCATGGTAAGACTCATACCTTTTTGCATTTCATCAGATAATCTTTACAATTTGACAAAATATCCATAATAAAGCATGTTGTACATATCAGAACACATGCTGAATATATGCATCTTTGAATAAAAAAATCATTGGTATCTTTTAATGTTTATTAGGTTGGAGTCATAATTCTCTATGACCATGTACACCCATTAGGAGCCTTTGTAAAAACCTCTAATATTGATGTAAGTACCATACAAGAGCTTATTGTGCATGTGCTATTTTACTCACCAATGGATGCCATAATAAGGTCTTGAAATCACTTTGGTATTAAAGTCAGGCTTGCTCATGAAGTAAGACTTCATCAGGATGATGTTTCTTCATTCATTCTGCAGATGAAAGCAACTATTAAAGTTTTGAAAGATCAACCATTAAATTCTGTGGAAGGTCTTCTAAATGCCCTCAGGTAGGTCGACGGACAACTATTGTTTGTCATTGCTTAAGGCCATGTTACAATTGCAATGCAATTCTACTTTTGAGAGATGTATATTTGGGAACAACGAAACTTTTGTGGTTATTACACTTCATGCACTTTTCTTCTGCAAGACTCTTCACTAATTTACATCTCTTAGAAGTAAAATTGCATTGCAAGTTTCAAGAAAAATTGCACCGTGTAACAGCAGTAATAGAATTGAAAGAGAGAGTTGGAACATCTCTTTATACCTCTGAGTGGTTTTACAGTACTTGCAGTTTGATCCTTAGGATTTTCTTCTAAATTTAGATACACGACAAAGCATCTGAACGACGAATCAACACCCAAGAATGTCCGTGCTCTGCTACAACAATAGAACATAAAACCACGAATTAGTGCAGGAAATAAATTATCTCAGTTTTTCTCACCGCGATATGCCGCCGAACACTTGCGCTGGTTACAAATGTACAATCATGGTAAAACGGGGGCCTCTCGTGGTCCATTGTGGTTGAAATTGTGGTGTATGCCATTGAACTATATTCACACCTGGATGGCTAACTTATCGTAATACGTAAACATGCCTATTCTTACCAAAATGACTTCTAAAAGACGAGCTGAAATACCTCTTTCCAAAGTCATCAGTCCAGTTTACTTATAGTTCAGTGGTGTACACGGCAAAGGAGAATTGTTACATTTAGGGTAGAAATAGTGCAATATTTTTGATAGGAAGTTTTTTGTATATGTAAAAAAAAATTAGAGCTTTTTTGCTTCTTATATGGGTCGTTTACATGGGTAAATGTCTGTAGACTGAAACTTCAGTTCCTAAAAAGGAATAGTTTTACAACGTGGTATGTATTTACTTTTGATGGCTTCCATTCGCCCTTCCATTTCTCGTGGGGAAAAGAGGTCCCTTTTGCAACTATTTACAAAGATCCTTGGATCAGTTTGTAGTGCTGTTATCATCATCCATGCAACACTTGGTTAATTCAAGTAATGAAAACCTTTCAATAATCGCGGGTTTCAAGTGACTCTGCGTATCTCCATTATTCTGGTACTGAAGTCTTAGCCTACAGTCATATTACTTGAGTAAAGTTTGCAAATGGCATATTTTAACCATCCAGGGGTGTATTGCAAACATATAGCTCTCAGTTTTACGTTAGAATTTGACTCAAGCTTTGTCGGCAAAGTTTTACTTGAGTAGAAATGGCCGGGTTTTTAACGGGTACCAAAATAGGCATGATTTAAAAAGTAAGTTCAATGATTAGCGGATTAAAACACTCTGAACAGTTTGAACATCGTTACTGTGCAAAACGAAAAGAGGGCGAGTCGATTCTCCCTAATATAGGGCTCTTTAGCCTCTGCAATACACCTCCAAATTACAAACACAAATTCCTGTCAAAGTAGTGGTTATACTGAACAGTATGAAGTATGTGGCGTTATGTTATATTTTTGTAATTTTAAGTGTGATGGTTCGTACCACATGTGCTGATTGTTTTCTAACTTAATAAATACTAACATGAAATGCCTATGATTGGTTGTTACTGGATATTTTCTCCAAAAATTTCATTCTTTTTATGGTAAAATGATGAACTCTGGGTGTATTAGCCATCCAGTTTACTCACATAGCAAGTGCAGATCAGCGAGTTAGCGATCTCTATATAATCGGTTTTCTGGATAGTTCTGTATAGTATAGAATAATTCATCCAGGAACACTGACGAAGATCAGGGACCAAGGTATAAAACAAGTTATACTAGAAACCAGTTACAGGCAACAGGCATTTTTAATTTCATAATCGACGGTTAACATGATAACATGATATCATGGGTGGAAAAAGCTGGGGATTTTTTCAAATGTAGATTGAAAATTAATGTTCTAATCTCATTTTTGTAGGTATATTTTCGTTCTTATAGAAACTTCGTCGAGGTAGTTAAAATGATCAGATTACGTTTATTTCCTTCATGCTTCAACCTGAAAATCACCGTCCGAAAAATTTATACTAACAAGGGAAACAGAAGAGTGCTAGTTTCTAAACATCAAATAGTATTTTTTCCTTCATCTCAAAGTTCAATAATTTGAATTTAACAGTCGAAAAACTGAAGTATATAATTTTTAATGCTATTGACGGACGGTTTTTCCGAACGGTCGCATTAAAAAAACGAGGCTGAACAGAGAACCTATATAATCATATAAGTTATCGCAATTTCCTTCGTATTAATCTAAAATTACACCTATATTGAATAGAACAATACCTATTATTCGCTGCGAGCAAGCGTGTGTGTCTCCCCTTCCCCATCTTTCGGCGCCGTAGTTCGTTCTGAAATGAAGTAAGAAAGGAAAAACAAAATCAAGTTAACAGCTCACTCGTCATTTCACATTTTCAATCGAAATATACAAGACATAGCAATGAAAATCAACGAGATATGCCTCCAGTCGCTAATGTCTTCTGGCTATTCAAATCAACACAAGGATGAATTAATTTGCAAAGCCAAAGATCAAGCCAACCTGAAATTCTTCAAACCAACCACTATCATGTACCTGAGCATGATTCATTCAACGTTTCCCTAAACTTCTTCGAGTGATTCTTCCTTCTTCGAGAGCCCCAAGTTTGACTTCCTCCTCGGATTCAACCACCTTTTATTGCTTTAAAGAACATTCAACGGACAATGCACTTCATGCATCGATCACACCTAACAGTAAGGCTTGTTTTCCACTTCAACCGTTTCGTATCGTAACGTAGCGTATTTCTATGTTTCCGGACGGTTTTCGACCAGAACTAATGACTTTAAAACAATGAGATTTACAATGACAACAGCCAAACAGGCCTGTTTCAAACTTCGAGTGCTTCTCACGTGTCGAACGATTAACAACAATAGATAATGAACATCTCAATTGATTAACCATTGTTTTAAATGCGTTCTTCGTATGAAATGGACGAGGGATATATGTTTTGCCACGATGTTTTGCATATTTTCATTGCAAGTGATTAAGAATAATAAAATGCCGGTATAACGCAAATAGCTGCATGGGTGGCTCAAGAAAATATCTTATTCCATTTGGCCTGTGCTTTTCTTAAGAGTACCCATGAAATCAGCACCACAACTGGGTTTTGACAAACATTGCAATAATACATTTACGTGTATTTCTCGCATTTGCAACGCTACGAATCTCTTTTTTGGCCTCCAAATTAAGTGTTTCGCGTCAGTTGACTAGGCTGCAGTCACTGATCTATGTATAGTCCAGTTCAAATATATGTACTTCACCCTCTCGCCACAGATCTCCATATATATGGTACATTAACGAGAGAGTTTCTGCATCGAAGGGCCTGGGTGCTAGGCTAATCCAGCAATAGACGATGAGGATTAATCTTTAATTAGTTCTAATTATTGACATTCTTGTGAATACGACATGACATACGTACGTAATCAACAGTCGTGACGCTCGCCTCTAGGAATGCCTTAAGGAAAATCATCGAAGCGATGCCCGGTCGTGACATTAGTGATTTACCTCTCAAAACAATACGGATCTATTTCCGATCGGCATTAGAGAGCAAAGCCAAAATCAAATATCGGTAGTTGCGGTACCGCGGTACTTGCGGTGAACGTCTACAGATGACCACGGTTCTTGGAAGCTAGCGGGGGTCGTGCCCTTTGCCTTGGCCCTACGAGAAATCGTTGTCTCAAGCAGGGATTTACTATATTGGACCTGGGTGGGAATCGCTAAGTACCGATCGTGTAAGGGCTAGATTTGTGCCAAATTGGGTCGGAAAAGGCGCGATCACAGTAATATCCATCAATATATTCTCCTTACAAGAACACAAGAGTCGATATTACTGAGCAATCGGCAGACATAATTATCACTAGAATACAGTCCCGAGGTAGTGTATTTTTAGAGACAGTAACTTTAGGCTACTAAACGCTAAGTGATATTAGCTACATTGATTATCTCAACTCCTTGATTATCAGGTTGATATGTTGTATGTTTATCGCCGAGATTTACCAAAGTTATTCAAATTCTGAAACGCCCATTTCGGAATGCCCATCCCACCACCTTTACATAACAAATATTTTTTTATGATTTATTTCACTTTTAAACATTTGACGGCTACACTGCCCCCCCCCTCTCTTATCTTCAAACCACAACCCGTAGAACCAAGCAGTATTCATACAATTAAACATGATAACACGTTTCGAATTTTCCCCTCAAGGTTTAAACGCATTCGAACTTGAAAATTCCCTTATTTCCTAAGTGATATCAATACCATATGTCGGAATGGGAGGTCTCGAATTCCCAATAAAAGTTATGAAAAGAATGCATCTAAACAGGTTTTAGAAAAAGAAAGTTCGATTCGGTAAGGTTAATGTAGAACAGGTGGGATTCGTAGTGTTTTGCATAGCTTCTTTGAAAGGCATAGCAAGTTATTGACTCAATATCGAATAACAATTAGCAGTGTAAGATATTTTTGTTGATCGGCAGAGAATCGACGTTATTGAACCTTTGGCGACTTGTGGCTTTTTAGACCAGCTTTCTATCAGAGAGCCGGCTCTCACGATAGCTACAGGTAAGCTAACAACAGCAGATTTGAATACAATCTCTATGTAGATCAGTTTAAAGCAGGACTGTATGGGCTAAAAATAAATGGTGATAAACCAATGTTCACTCTTCGAGTCAAAACTAAAGTCTCCTATGAATAGTTACCTGCCATAAGTATACCAAATATATAAAATATAAATAAAACGCAAACGCATGTCAGCCGAATCAAACTATTAATCACGAGCGTCGATATGTACGATATCACTGATGTTCAATATTTATTTATGTTTTGGTTTGACTACTTAGAAACAGGTACATTCTAGGACGGCATGATTTGTTCAATGGAAACGTTGTTTTCTTGTTTTATTGATTTGTGCACGGTGAATTTGTTACTGCAGCTGTGTCCTCTACTAGACTTATTCTATTTTCCCTAGAATTGTTCTAATTTTCTTAGAATCGTTCTAATTTCCCTAGAATTGTTCTCAATTTTCTATTGTATTATACATTTAACTTTAATCTGTAGCAAGTACAAAATTCTTTTATTTATTAGATGTTATCGTTTCTATCGCAACAGCCTTTAAAAAACTTGTTTGTTTCAAAAATCTGATCCAGTCCACCCCTCGCTACAAGAAAGTGCACTATTTCGCAATACATTCAAATGAGTTGTGAAATAAATTCCATAAATTACCGCGTGTCTTAGTATTTACATTGAATAACACCATATGAATTGTAGTATTTCGCAAGCACATTAGCTCAGCCAAACTTGAACGTACGTTCTCAACATCTCGTTTATTAGAAAAATCAGTATTTTTTCACCCAAATCTGTCGTATATCCAGTGCTGCACAACGAAAACTACTTCACTTTAATTAAACCAAAGAGCTTTGTTTGTGAAAGGACGATCCAGCGCTTAGCAGAAAAACAAAACCACATACACTGTAATCCCACACAGGACTCGTGACCAGACAGGCAACTTCGGAGTTTTAATTAATCTTTTTACCATATATCCTGACCAGGAGGGGAAATAAACTTGATATTGTACTCATATACACACTGGAAACACGGCTGGCACACCATCATACGTACTTCAGTTTTTTGCCTGACTCCCGGGGAAAAATTGCTGATGTTGTTTCGTGTTCGGTAATATTTTTGTTGCGTCTGTGAAATATATTAACAATTAGTAATCAATTTTAAGCTATTGGCCTGCAGGCCAAATTGTGTAAGCGCAAAATAAATTAACATTTTTGTGAATGTTTAATGGCAATCTTCGTCGAAATTCCTCCCTTGAACTATCGTGGGAATACTTTTCGAACCTCGACATGGTCACAGAATATAGACATTCCTTGAGGCCATTTTTCCTTCAAATTCATTTACTCAACATTTATTACATCATTTCCCCCACAAAAAATAGTTATTAAACGGTGCCCTATCCTTCATAAATAGTCACGCAAAACGATTCTCATTTCCTAAAAGGAACTCTACATCATTAAACCGCGGTGTGAAATTCTCAACGCGTACACTCCTCGGGCGGGTTGTTCGAAAGGTGCATGGATAAAGTTATCCACTGAATAGTGACTATTTCAAACGTTAAAATAATCCTCACAACTTGGCATGGCTAAGACTAAACTTCACAATTTTCAAGTTCAAATTCTTTCTAACGATTATAAATTAATCTAAGTAACTTTATCGTTGTTCTAAGCTTTTTTACGACGGTTGAAAAAGCATGCACCTTTCATCCATCGGCATCCACCTTTCGTACAACCAGCCTCGGGATATCAAGTTACCCAATATTTCGGTTATCCAAGTCGTGTGGTTGTTGTAGGTTTTTTTACGGATACGATTTGAGGAAAAATTGTAATCACACAGCAAGATTGATACGGCACTGCAAATGCGCATGAAATTACACTCAATTTTTAATCAACTTCTCTAACAAGTCTATAATCTAGTCTATCCTACAGCATCCTATGAAATAAGCAAGGCCACATGCACTCCCCCTCCC